ACAGATTTCAGAGTTCCCCTCTAATCCATTCCAGTATGAAACTGCCCTCCCTTTTTCTTCAGAAGGATCTTCTTCAGATGCTAAACCCCAACATGAAGAATCTGGGCACAGAAATTTCCTCACATGGATTCAGTGGAAATCAAACGGTTGGTCACGGTCCTTGAACAATCATTCTTACTCTCGTAGGCCAATGCTCAGTTAAGAGGCAAGTCAACCACCTAGAGCTAGGTACGAATTTTCTAGCTATTCTCCACCTGGCATCCCAGGTATTTTAGGTATTATTAAAACTTGCTTCTTTTAAAGGTGAAGAAAGAACAAGTTAAATGTTAGAAGTGTCATATGAATGGAGTTAAAAAAAAAAAAACTGCCCTGAGATTAACAGAGCCTACAGGGAATTCTGAACAGATTCAACTGACAGAGTGACAAAGAGTCCTTTCGAGACCACTCTTGTCCCAGCTCACTTACCAGAAAACAAATTCTGACAGCAGAGATCTCCTTTCTGGGTAACTGTATTTGCCCCCACCCTGCCTAAAGCCTGGTTCACAGCCTCGCGCTTATCTGGCACTTGATACCTTCATGGACGAGCTCAGCTTCCTGCCAGTCTGGGCTTTCTTTGCTTTGAACATCAGTATGGGGGAGCACTTCATAAATGCAAAGGCAGGCCAGCAATTATGCTGTTGTGACTCAGTGCCACCAGGCTATGATTCTGATTTAGCTAAGATAGGAGAAGGGATGGGTGGTTCTTGCCTACAAACTTCAATGTTTAAATACAATGAAATCTAGATGTGGTAAAGCAAAGTCCCCATGTTTGATCCAGCTCTCCTCTAGAATAAAGTAATAAAGAGAAATCACCTACCCTCAACTTCCTGTGCAGTGGGTTCTGGTCAGACTCCCCAGTACTGTGGCCCACTGAGTGAAGCTGGCCCTGTCTTCCCCTTTTCCATTCCAGGCCAGATGCACAAAGGAACTCAATGGGACTATTCCAAAGAGGAATTTCTTCACAAAAGATATTGCTGCTTTATGTGGCTCTGTGCCAAGTTTTATCCTGGTGGTCCCTTACTGATTGCAAGTCTGGCTGCGTTAGGAGATTTCTCCTCAGAGAGGATACAGTCAGTTACTTGATGCTTGCAAGGGCCCAAACCGATGAAACCTCAACTATGACTGGTCTCATTAAGAGGAGCCATGCACCTGAGCTAACACTCAATTTAACAGGTTTCCCATTTGTCATCGGGACCTGCTCACCCTTCAAGGGTGGAACTATTGGCAATGAACAACGGTAGGAGGCAGCAGGCAGGTGTCCCCTGGGTGGCAAAGCAGCTCACCACGCACGGTACGCGGCAGTGCCAGCCTCAGCTCACCTAGGAGTGCAGCAGGAAGAGCCCGTGAGCAGCATGACTAGGGAAGGGCTGGAAAAACCACAGTTGAAAAAGGACGTTGAAAACTGGACTGAAACACAGCGAGGTGGAGAAACGTGACTGAGAAATCGAAGCCACTCCTGGAAAAATGCCCCTATTTCCAGCAGCCCTACTCTCCAGGGAACTTGGGGGAGAACAAAGGTTCCGTTCCTTCTTCCTTCACTTCCCCTGAGTTCTCACGTTCTCGCTGCTGTGCCTGGGCTTAACCAAAGCCACACCTGTGGGACAGCCACAAGGACTAGAACAAAGCCTAACAGCTCGGACTTCTGTTCACATTTGGCAAGGATCACAGGGGCCTCCGCGTGGGTTTGGTGCTTTCTGATCAACTCTTACTCTGGATGGTGACATCAAGCTCCTCTCCTGGACCAGTTATAGAGTCGAAATTAAGGTCAATACGTGTAACATAATATTGGAAGGCAAGAGGGAGAAGGCCATGGAAGGTAATTCTTTGACAACGCTAAAACAGAGAGAACAGGCATTTCCATATGCCAACAAACCTCCCATTTTCCAGGTACTTCAACCAATTTTGGATATGCAATAAGCAGAGAACCAATCACACAAACACCTCCAGAATGTTAAAGGCTAGTCCCACTGTGTGTTCTGTGAGATCCCGGGCTACGTGCAGCCTGGTGATCAATCAGGACGGTAGAAGCGCAGGGTGTTGCTGCCAAAATGGAAGAGCCACTTTGGAAAACTCCACAGTACACCCACAGCCACCTTCAAGATGCTATCAGGCAATCTAACCTAAAGTTCTGCAAAAATTGTTTATTTTTGGCTTGGGTAGGAGCTCCTAAGAAAACTTAAAGTAACACGAGGCCTGCTGAAACCCTACATGCAGGTCAGGGGCCTAAAGGCCGTGCTGTAGCACGTACAAGCCAAGCCACAAAGCATCTGAGGGGCTGGTATGCGCTACAGTTAGATATCCTAAGGAGCCAACTCTTACAGGATGAAGACATTTCCCCACCCCAGATCCTGATGCACAACAACCCTGGGGACCGGGAGAAAGGGAAGGGCTCGAACTCCGAAAACTTACAAGCAGGACTAGCTCGAAGAGGAAGAGGATTTGGCTCTAAATGGAAAACAGAAGGGAGAAGGCCGGCAGAGAGCTCGTGGTCTGGGCAGCTCTGGCAGCGAGAAAACCCTGCTAACACAAAGCAAGGAAACTGTATACACACAGCCACACATAGACGGAAGCAGGGCTTTCCCTTCAAGCAAGAGAGTTCTTTGAAGTAAAGGCAAACAAAGTCAGTGAAGCAAAGGCCAAGGATCCCCCTTTCCAACCTTAACAGACTTTCAAGCTGAATTCTAATCAGAAATCACTCTGGTCCGGTGATCAGGGTAACCAGATGGGAACTATAAATTCAAGTACCAGAAAACGGGGTCTCATTTTGAGAGCGAGATGTCACCTCATTATGTCAGACCTCAGCAGAACTGGAACAAAATACCATGTGACACTACAATGGGCTTATGGAAATGAGGCTGCATTCCCCCGATGGCCCTCCATGGAGAAGTCTGTGCCATTCCTTAATATGGTGACAGTCAGTCTGAAAGGCCACTTCTTTGATGCACCATAAAGAGCGAGAGCATGAGACAAGCTAGTTTAGCACCATTTATTAAGTGATCTCAGCTGTTGTTGTAGCTGCTGCGTGTCAGCCTGTTCTTAAAACATAAAATGCTCTTCCAATTCCTCTTGTCCAGGACAGAAGGATCTTCCAGGTAGCACGCCAACAGAACAAGAGACTCCGATGATGCCAGCTTCAATGATGGTGCCATCCAGAGAGGGAGAGGGTCATGGCACATTCAACCGCGGCTTCCAGAGGTTTTGAAAAAGGAGCCTTTGGGGGCCCAGCCTGCCTGGCATTCTAGTGGAAGTGCAAAAGGTGGGCACATTGGGAGAGGAAAGAGAGGGAGACGCGAGGGAAAGTAGCATCTGGGACTCAAGGAGGGTTTCTGGTCCCTGTAGCTGCAGGGCTGGAGTGCTAGGCAGATCTCTTGATAAAGCAGCGAGCAGCAGACTAAAGCAAAAAGCCCACAGGCTCTCCTAGACTCTGTAAGGACTTGTTCATGTTTCTACAAGTCAGGAAGAACCGCCTCAGGGTATTAGAGAGGGAGAACAGTGGAGAGGGGAGAGTTGAAAAATACCTCTTTCCCTTTCCTAGCCAGGTGAAAGCTTGCTTTTGAGGGGTAGGGGGATGGAGGGCATTTGGGAACCTTGAACATTAAGAGTCCTAGAAAAAGTAAGTGTGGATCTCTCCAGCCTGGACTGTGTCTGGCTGGAGGGCAGAAACTATTCTCTCTCAGAACGAAGAATGGGGAAATCTACCTAGAGAAAAACAATGCTAACTCAGGACTGCTAAGGCAAGCAATTGGGGCCATGGCTGGCTAATAACTGTTGGTGGCTACGGATGAGTCATAGCCAGCCATCTGATTATGGACCAACTCTTGTGGCAGTGTTCCCAGTAAAAAACTGGCACTTAGCTGGTTTAAGCCAACTCCACCCACAACATTCTCTGTGAATGCATGGGAAAAAGATTCCCAAACAGTTTGCCTGCTGAACACCAACACTGGACTCATTACTAGTCTTTAATAAGAATAACATGATGATGATATTATTACTAATGATGACGATGATAGCAATAATAATACTTCGCCCTATAAGAGCATTCTCCACCTGAGGACCTTCAATTACAAAGATTAAATCAGCCTCACAACAACCCTGTTAGGTAAAGTATTATTATCCCCCATTTTACAGATGGGGAGACTGAAGCAGAGTGGCAGAGACTTGCCAAAGGCACATATTGATACTGGAGTCAAAGGAGAGAGTTAAACCTAAAAGTCCCGACTCCTAGTTGGCTAAGCTCTCCCTCCAGTTTTGAGAAAACCTGACAGCCACTCCCCACAACTTCTTCATAATATGACTTCGATCACTGAAGGAGCAACTCTAACCTGTGATTCTCATTTGTGGACATCCAACTCTAGGTACCCCGAGTCCTAGGCAGATCACAAAGCTTACTTCCCCTTTGGCATTCATGCTTCCCCCTTAGATTCTACTCTCACGAACACACTATTCTGCTTCCTCTACAATTTCAGCTCTACACACAAGGAAATGGAGTTGTCATTCCCGGTAAGAAGTCAATTTCCCAGGACAAAGAAAACAGACTGACGCTAACAGGTTAAAAAGACATGCAAAAGTGGGGTGAGGGGTGGACAGGGAGGAGGGCTGGCCTGTTCAGTGCAATTATCTTAAAAAACAGCAAGAAAATGAAGAGCACTTTGTCTTTCATTTTAAGATAGTGGTTAGTGAATGAAAGACAAGACAGCCTGTGTAAATAAAGCAAGCCCAGGCAGTGCAACTGGGATTCTGCAGAAGGGCTGTCTCTGATACAAAGTGCCCCACAGTGTAGGTGGGCAGGGAGCCTCACCAGCAAAGAACTGCTACGAGTGGCCAGAAGCACTAGAGGGGAAGACTGGTCTGTCCCTTCTCCATAAGTCAGGCTCCTGTACGACCATATTCCTCTGGGCCCAACTAAGGACCTACTTCTCCTAAGCTTAGGGACATGCCCCCCAAGCACCCCCAACACGTACTTGATGCTGTCGGTGTGGGTTTTGTACTCCATAATGGTGTTGGGAGGTAGGTTAAGCACTCGCCGAAGCGTATCCCGGATTCGGGCTGTGGTTGCTTGGTCACTGGCAGTCTTATTCCATATTGAAATAATGTCCTCCTACAGGAGGAACAGAAGGACTCGTCAAAGCAAACCAGAGGCAGTGAGGAGAGCAAAGGCAACACAAGAAACCAGACCTGCCTACGGGGTGGCTTACCTGAAACCGGACAGAGACCACAGCCCCACAGATCTCCTCCCCAACCATGAACTGTTCCCCCAACATGGCCAGGATAAGATTCTCCCAGCAACGGGATGCCAAGCCCTTCCGCAGCCGAATAATCCACTTGCCACCATTTTTATTTGCATCATCCTGTACAAGAGAGAAAGCATTAAAGTTAAAATGTGGTTTCGCAGGTCTTTTACTTTTGTATGAAGGCAGGAAAAAAGCCAGGGATCCCTTGAACACCTGAGATGTCTTGTCACTTTCCAGTTATTCAACTTTATAGGAAAAATGGTGGTAGGGCTAGGGAGACAAGAAATGGGAAGAAAAGAACAACAAGTGGGAATCCTTGGTACAAGCCATACCAATGAATGGCTAAGCTGACCCTTTAAAAATAATCCTCTTTTTCTCGAACTACTTTAGGAACCAAAATAAAGTGATGTCAGATTTCAAACACAGATCATTCTTCACTTCACTGAAAATTTACCAAGTGTCACTATGTCTCAAGCACACACACGTGAAGCCACAGTCTCTACCAGATCCAGTCTGGTATTGTTGATACAAGAAAGTGGAGGAGACAGCCAAGAAAACTAATGACAGCAGTAGAGTCTGACAAGTGTTGCTGTAACAGAGATAGACGAAGTTAAAGAAGAACAAGACAGAAACACTCAAGAAGAGGAAACATTAAGCTGGGTCTTGAGGAACACAGAGTTAGGCAGGTAAAGCAGGTGAAGGGTCTGCAGGCATCAAGAAAAACATGGCCTTGTACAAACTGGGACTGTGTGTCAGGGAGATATGCAAAGAGGAAGGCTGGCTGCACCGAAGGGAAGGCCTAGGCATGCTGGGAGATGAGGCCTACAGGGTGAGTGAGTGCAAGATCATGTGAGCAATGCAGAGCTGCGGAGGGCCTATAGTTGGGTGTGTGTGTGTGTGTTCACATTCGTCTTCTAAAAAATGCCCTGGCATCAGAACAGACGATGGATTACAGCAAAGAGATCACAGAGCTCAGCTCTGGGTTTCCAGCCACTGCCTGTCAGTAAGCTTACGTTTTACCCACTTCGATCACACATACGCTACAGTAATATATCTCACACACACACACACACAAACACACAACCAGTTTGATGGGAATAAGGGTAATTAAAAAAAAGTCCTTTAATGTTGTTGTAATACCATTTTAGTGATAAAAAAAATCTTTGTAAACACATAGACAAGCAATGACGTCAGCGCCTTTTCCCAGAGGTCCTGGCTCCAAGGATGTACCAAATAGTGATGCCGCTCTGACAGAAGACTTCAAATACTTTTAACCTTAGCAAGGCTAAAACAAAAACCCCCAAACATTCAGAACAGTGGTCTGAGGTCCTCCAGGCTTACCTCCCACATGGGTTTAATTCCTTCTTTGAAGAGATGGAAGTCACTGTGGCCTGTCAGGTCCCCAGGACGTACCATGTGGCTATAAAACCTCCAGAACTGCTCCACCTGTAGAGAGAAGGCCCCAGAGCACAAAAGACGTGTCTTTCCTTTATCTTTGAATGAGTATGAGATTTAAGTGAAGAACACAGACATGGAAGACACTCTGCTACAGACTCTACTTTTTGGAGGACACACTTTCATTTGGGGAAGTATGCGGGAAGGCAGGTTGTATGGGAAGTATAAAGATATAATACTGCTGATACAAGAAAAAACTCTTTAGGTGGAAAATGCCTCAGCCAGGAGCCCTAGTTGTGGAAGCCCCAGGATAAGCATCGCATGCTGTAAGAGGACCCTGTTTTACACAGTGGAATCCTTTCAGTTTCTTTCTTTTTCTTAAGTAGGCTCTACGCCCAACGTGGAGCTTGAACTCACGACCCTGAGATTAAGAGTCTCACACTTGGGGCACCTGGGTGGCTCAGTCAGTTAAGCATCTGCCTTCGGCTCAGGTCGTGATCCCAGGGTCCTGGGAATGAGCCCCGCATCAGGCTCCCTGCTCAGCCGGGGGCCTGCTTCTCCCTCTCCCTCTGCTGCTCCCCCTACTTGTGCTCTGTCAAGTGAGCAAATAAAATCTTACAGTGTCACACTCTACCAGCTGAGCCAGCCATGCATCCCAACACAGTGGAATCCTTTTAGTCTTGAGGTATTTGAAGTGCCACGTAACCTCAGCCTGAATGTATTTTTTTTTTTTAGAACCAAATCACTTTTTAAAAAATACATTATTATTAACTATAGTCATCATGCTGTACATCACATCCCCATGAAGTTTGATCACTTCTCAAAGACTGGTTTATTGGCAGATAGAGCATTAACTACAATGAATACATTTTACTTCTGTTTGCTTATTGAGCTAAGTGATGGGATTAACCACATGCACTACTCTAAACCATGGTGCCCTTGCTGAGGCCAGGATAGCCCAAACCAAAAGAACTCGGCCTCTCATATTTGGGGTTTAAGTCCCTCTTCTTAGCTAGAAAATTTGTTTCTCCTTGTCCCTCCTTCATAATCCTGTTAGAAAACGGCATTATTTCTCTATCAGATACATGCTTATTTCTACTTATCGAGCTGTTCCCGTTTCTCTCAGTAGTGCCATGATAAGGAGACCTTACTTCCCTAGTCCTTTGTAACTCACAGGGGACACCCACAAAGTACTGGCTAGTGAAGAGGCACACTTTAGGAAGAGAGAAAAAACGTGGAATAGTGTGAAGTCAGTTGGTATTTGCCAATATACCAATGAGCAGGCTCTCAACAAACACCCAGCAAGACATCGTAATGTGTAGCTGAAAATGGGTACTGAGTAGTCAGAGATTCAGGTCATACTTCTAGATGTGGATAGCAGCAACTCAGGAGAAAGAGACCTTGCACTCTATGAAGTGGCTGTTCCTCCAGTTCCTCTAGAGAACAGGAACACGGGAACTGTCTCATGGTACAAAGAAGTCAGGAACAAATGCCATTCATAGGATTTTGAAGCAGTGTCTCATCTCAACAACCACTATGTTTAATTGTATACAGCAATTGGGGGCAGTAAGAGGCCATATGTATTTAAATGAGCAATCATCTTTTTCCACTCTGACACAGTGGGAAGAAACAAAATACACCCACTAGAACCTGTGGCTCACTGTGAATTAGGAATTGGGGGTGGGGGTGGTTAGGGAGAAAGTATACCAGCCACCCCCAATTCCCCGATCAATCATTGCATTATTAGCAGTTTGGTCTCTTCCAATTTTATAGCCAGACTACAGAATCTCATAGTCACAATCTTATATCCAAATCACAAAAGAGATGAAGTAAACAACTTGAGAAATACTATTAGGCTTTAAAAGATTTATTCTTCCTTCTCTTTAGGCAATTTGGTTTTTGAAACTCCTCACTGAAACCAAAAAATAAATGTTCAGACTCAGAATGTGAGCTGCACAAAAAAAGACTTCAGAAATAATCTCGGGGCACCGGGGTGGCTCAGTTGGTTGAGCGTCTGACTCTTGGTTTCGGCTCAGGTCATGGTCTTGGGGTCCTGGAGCCCTACATCGAGCTCTACATCGGGCTCTGTGCTCAGCAGGGAGTATGTTTCTCCCCTCTCTCTCCGTCTGCCCCTCCCCCCACTAGCACACACACTCTCTCTCCAAAATAAATCTTTGAAAAAAGAAATAATCTCAATTACCTTCCTCATTTTATAGTTGAGAAAATGGTTTCAGAACTGGCCCTGCCCTGAGTCCAGCACCAGAGCAGATGAGCCATGTGATCCCCAAGTCCACTGCTCTCCTATTTTAAGACACTGCCTTCTTAGTCACCCTGACTTCAAGAACTTTTAAATATGGGCAAATATTAGGATTAAGGAGCACTGAGAAATGCTGCTTTAGATTTGATAAAAGGTTCCACAATGTAATTATTTCTCTGTGAGGAACCTAATATTGTGAGACATTTCCTAATGCCTTGACTTACATGACAGCCAACTTTAAACACCGTTTAAACAGCCATTGAGTCTGGAAGAATGACACCCCAGATGATGCTGATGATGTTGCTCTAGTCAACTCAACATTTATGCCAAAAGAAAAGAAAAGAGAGGTGCTGGGGTGGCTCAGTCTGTTAAGTGTCCACCTTTGGCTTGGGTGTGATCTTGGGGTCCTGGGATTGAGCCCCGCATATGAAGCCCCATGTTGGGCTCCCTGCTCAGTAGGGAATCTGCCTCTCCCTCTACCCCTCTCCCCACAACTTGTGTGTGCACTAATAAAATAAAATCTTAAAAAAAGAAAAGAAAACCCTTTGCGCACAAGCTGAGTAAATTCATATATGCCTTTCTTAAAAGGAAAAGAAAAATGCTAGAAATATTCACAATTACCCCCAAATAACAGAATCCTGAATGAAAACTCCCCCCCCCCAAGTTCAATCTTCTCTGACCCTCCAAGTGCTCATCCAGTTGTTCAGAACACAATGGGCTGCTACCTTCCCTGTAATGTCTAACTTTCCCACATGGCAGGTCATCAACATTTTTGTGATAGATTCAGGAATGTTAGGAATGCACTGATATTTTCAAAAGTTTATTTCTATTATTCCTTTTACCAACAATTCCGTTCTTTTCATATCTCCTGTTCAAATTTTTAAGTTCAATTATATATATAATGTTTATTATATATATTAAACATATATATATTTAAGTTTATTTATTTTTTTAGTTATCTCTACACTCAATGTGGGGCTTGAACTCACAACCAGGACCATCAAGAGTCACATGTCTTTCTGAATGAGCCAGCCAGGACTCCTTAAGTTTAATTTTAAGCCCATTTCCTCCAAAGAGGCTTTCCCCAAGTTGGAATTAATTCCTTCTTTCCTGTGAACTTCAAGAGCATTTTAGCCATGCCTTCCCTATACCACTTCTCACTATCTCCCTGTATTAAAAACCTGGGAATGACTTACTTCTTTAAGGGCAAGGTCTTAATTCATTTTAGAACTGTTAGTGAATTCATTCAACAAACATTTCTTGAACCAAATATGCACCCAGTGCACAAGCTATTTTTAGTATTACAAAAAAGCCTACAACTACCAGTAATAAGGGAGCACAGGCAGGCACCCGGCTGGCTCAGTTGGTGGAGCATGCAACTCTTAATCTCAGGGTCATGAGTTTGAGCCCCATGCTGGGCATGGAGCCTACTTGGAAGAAAGAAGGAAGGAAAGAAAAGAAAGAAAAGAAAGAAAAGAAAGAAAAGAAAAAAGAAAAGAAAAGAAAAGAAAAGGAAAGAAAGAAAGAAAGAAAGAAAGAAAGAAAGAAAGAAAGAAAGAGAAAGGAAGAAAGGAAGAAAGGAAGAAAGAAAAAGAAAAAGAAAGAAAGAAAGAAAGAGCACAGGCTAACTAAAACAAATCCTTGCTTTGGGCTGAAATTATATCAACTCAGCAGAGTAATCAGATAATCTGATTACCAGGTGTGTGTGTGTGTGTGTGTATACACACACACAAATATATAACTGATTAGTGATAAATGGATAGTTTGTCTAGAAATAACATTAAAAATATTAGAGACACCTGACTCGCACTTTGGTGTGATGGAAGAGTAAATGAAAGAGTACGTTGTGTATGGACTGTGGAATGTAGCTTTTACAGCCTACCCAACCTAAGTTTCAATCCTGGCTCCTCCACTTCAAGTACATTATGACTGACTTGACACTTTGATCAGATACTTAACCCAAGTCTCACTTTCCTTGTTTGTAAAATACGGATATCACTGATCTCATAGGGTTATTATAATGATCAAAGGAAATTACATCAAGTGCCTATTACTGTGTCTTTCTTCTTTACCAATTTATTGTAATGTTTACTGTCTGCTACAGTTTCCTTTTCCAGTGTCTGCATTTTAAATGGGAAAAAACCTCCACAATTTCAAGAAAATAACAAATCCTGCATTTGATTCTGCCCAGAAATCAAATGTACAGCACGTAGAAAGTGCATAAAAATTTTTGTTGAACAAGACTTGTGTTAGTTGCAGACAGCTTTCAGTGTACACAAACCTAGCCACCTGTGAGGGAGACAGACAGAGCTGGGGCTATTTCTGACTCTGACAGTACCCACAAAAACAATTATTAGGATTTCATTTTCTTTCTGAACACAGGAAAAAGATGCTACACTATGCATAGTTACTAACATATCCAAAAGCCTGTGCTTGCTTCGGCAGCACATATACTAACATATCCAAAAGCCTAATGGGAGGTTCTTTTTTTTTTTTAAAGATTTTATTTATTTATTTGACAGAGAGAGACACAGTGAGAGAGGGAACACAAGCAGGCGGAGTGGGAGAGGGAGAAGCAGGCTTCCCGCAGAGCAGGGAACCCAATGCGGGGCTTGATCCCAGGACCCTGGGATCATGACCTGAGCCGAAGACAGACGCTTAACGACTGAGCCACCCAGGCATCTCTTTTTTCTTTTTTTTAAGTAAGCTCTATGCCCCCAGGATTAAGAGTCCCATGCTCTACCAGCCAGGTGCCCCGTTAATAGGAGGTTCTTAATACAAGAGAAACTTCTGAATTTTACTCTTGACTTTACTGTCAAGCTTCATAAAAATAGATACAACGTATTATAAAATTTTTTATCCTCCATGACACTTTGCACGCAATAAGGACTCAATACGTATCTACTTAAACAAACCTGTATTTCTGTATTGTCCCCTTATGGTCAACTTGTCAATTCACATACTTCTTGATACCTATGTATGTTACCTACGGATGTCTAATGAGAAATCTAAGAATGAGCAAACCTGACCTCAGGGACTCAGGTCAGTCAGATAAAGAAACCAGAAGCCTCAACAGGTTACCAGGAAGATAAACAGACACAGTGAGGTAAGCATAGGCATGAATGTGCTACCAAGGTTCACTGCATTAAGCCAGTAAGTACTCACAGAGGCAAAGGTGCCAATCTGTTTGATATTCTGTTCATAGCTCTGTGAGCTGGTGGGACGGCCGGGGGTCCTTCTGGAGTACCAGAAAGTATAGTTGTACTGCAGGGGATGCTCTGCTGGTCCAGGGACAACAGCCTGTGAATTGAAGAAGGTGTGTTAATCTGGGGCATTTTTCACATGATCTGAGACACAGAAAACATTTTACAGTGTCACCCATTACCACCTCCACAAAAAGGACACATCTTCAATTACCTGCAATATGCCCAAGATTCCACTTAGTGGTTAACTAACTCTTTAGTGGTTAACTACATTTTTTTAGTGGTTAACTGACTCTAAGTTCCTGTAACATTTTATCTGTATTCTTATAGTGTTTGTAACCTTTTGTTTTCTATCTTAGGTATTTATGTTTATATCTTATCTCGGCCAAGTACTCCCAGGCCAAGTACTGCCTCATCTATGACACTTTATCACTTACTGGCTAGTAACCTGGGCAAGCTGCCTCACCTGTTTGTGCCTCCGTTGCTTATCTGCAAAATGAAGAAAATAATAATAACAACCATATCATAGGATTGCTGAGAGGATCAAATAAATTAATAGATGAAAAGTGCTTAGCACAGTGCCCCGCACATAGTAAGTGTTCGGTGTCAGCTACCATTATTACTGTCACTATTAAACGTAAGCCCCTTGATCCATAGTCTCATTCACCTTTGTGTTCTCTTAGCACCTACAATGCTTTTATCTGGATAGTCCTCAACCTCGTGAGAGAAACAATTGTTTTGATATTTCAAAGAAGAAATTGATCCAGGACACCCGGGTAGCTCAGTCGGTTAAGCATCTGCCTTCGGCTCAAGTCATGATCCCAGGGTCCTGGGGCTGAGTCCCACATCAGACTCCTTGCTCAGTGGGGAGCCTGCTTCTCCCCCTGCCTGCCATTCCCCCTGCTTGCGCGCACTCTCTCTCTCTGACAAATAAAGGAAACCTTAAAAAAAGAAAGAAAGAAATTGATCCATCAATCTCTCATTCTCTAAACTTTCTCCTTTCCAAGTAACTTTCAGCTTAGATTAATACTGACGAAAGAGTCTAAAATTTCAAGGGATGTGTAGGATTAAATACTCAGCAGCTTCTGAAGCAACCAATAGCCCTGTTAAACTCCAGGGTTCATGTCTCGTGCTGGGAGAATGCTGGAAAGCAAGGCAACATCTCAAGATCCCGTGGCAAGGGAAAATTTCTAACTCCCAACATGAACGCCAGTGATCCAACAATCTTTCTTTTGAGAACAAAAGCAGATATTCCAGGGGCACCTGGGTGGCTCAGTCAGTTATGCATCTGACTCTTGATTTTGGCTCAGGTCATGATCCCAGGGTCCTGGGATCGAGTCCCACATCGGGCTCCATGCTCAATGTGGAGTCTGTTTGCCCTTCTCCCTCTGCTCCTCCCCCTGCTTCAGCACAGGTGCACACGCGTTCTTTCTAATAAATAAGTAAACCCTTAAAAAAAAAAAAAAAAAGCAGATATTTCAAAATAGGGTGCCATCAAGTTAATCCGGTATCTTTAACATGACAGATTCCACAAGATAACCAAGTCCCAAGTCCAAAGACAATTCTATCTATATAGCACAAAACTTACCTTCCTCTTACTGCTGCCCTGACTTTTGTCTCGTTCTGTTTTTTCCTTCTCACCATCTTTCTGTGTGCTGTTTTCTTCATTCTGATCATGGTCCCCACTGTCATCGTCTTTCAATCTGAATGGGAAGGAAAACAATGTTAGGCCATGACTGAGCTGATTCTTGCTTACTTAACAAAGCCACCAGGTCAAATGAACTACCATATAACCAACCCTACTCAAAATACAGGCAAAGAGATGTACAAGAGATGAGGGAAGAGCAAGGGAGTGTAGAAAGGCAGTTAGAAGGAATTCCAAAAAAACACTGTCTTCCAGTTTTTTGACAGGCAAAGAAGCAAAGAACAGTTTAAGGGATTGTGGTTTGTTTTTTTTTTTTGCGAAAAATAATGAATCAATAATAAGAGTTTCTGGATTATATAACAGCTTTAGCATTTCAAATGAAGTTTAAAAACTTACTTATCTTTCTCCACACTTCTTCTAACCATCTCTCCTATCCTTCCCCACTGCCACTGCCACAGCTCAGGCCCACTTCTCCGTCATCTCAGTTATCACAATAAATTCCTAAATGGTCTGATACAAATCATCCCCACTCCCTATCCATCCTCCACAAAGCCACCAGCATCTTTCTAAATGCAAATCTGAGGGGCGGCCGGGTGGCACAGTCAGTTAAGCATCTGACTCTTGGTTTCAGCTCAGGCAGTGATCTCAGGGTCGTGAGGTTGAAGCCCGTGTGGAGCCCCACGTCCGGCTTCACGCTTAGTGCAGAGTCTGCTTGAGACTGTCTCTCCCTCTGCCCCTTCCCTTGGCACTCGTGTGTGCGCGTGCACTCGCCCTTTCTCTCTAAAATAAATAAATAAATCTTAAAAAAATAAACACAAACCTGATCATTTAACTTCCATTCTTAAAAACCACCAACTGTCCCTTGCCTTTTGATGCCCACCCTGCAGGACAAAGTACAATGAAGTTTAAGATCCTCCAGGATCTGACCCCAGCCTACTGATACCCTCTCCCCACCCATCTCCCAAAGGAAACTATAGCTCCACAGCTGTGCCATCTGCAAACACTACCCCGTAGCCCAAGGTGCCATTCTTCCCAGGTCTGCTTTTCCCTATTAAGTGGAGGGATCTCTTAGAACAGTCTTATTAATCTTTGTATCTCCAGCACCGAGGACAAGAAGATGTTGCCCTAACATGTTGCACAAGATAATGAATCAATGTTAAATGAAAAGAAAATGATCGAAAGAAGGAATGAATGTCTTCTTGCCTGGTAAGACTGGTCAAATGTACAGTAGGTCCTATCCTTCTAGAAGCAGTGAAACTACCCTAAGGCTTTCAGGTACATCTAAAGCTCACTGGATTCATACAAAAAGATAAACAGAAGGTGAATTCACAAAGATAGTAAGAATGTCATTTAATTTAGAGGTGGACCATTAGCTTATCATGGATCTTCTCCAAAATCACCTTTGGTCCTAATGACTATCTAGTCAAATGGAATTAGGTAATCCTCAAGAAAGGTACTAGAAATGCTCAAATGACAACACAGATATTACCTTACATACCTACAGAAACATGTTGCAAAGCATTTTGCATTTTCTTTTGCCCGTGAATTTTCAGTGCCTAGCACATAAAAAGCACTCAATAAATATTAGAATGCACTAGCCATGTGTTTAGGTGCCTCTTCTGCTCATTTCACAGCCCTCGCTGTAGGATATATTCAGGTGCACCATGCCATAAATGACCCCATCCCCACTCTGGTCAAGGCATGACTATGAAGGGTACCTGAACAAAGGGCATTCCAGCCTGGCCAATAACTGATGCCCCATGGTCTTGCTCAAAATTATGAGTAGATTCCTTCCCTGGCTTTTTATCCAGGAGATGAAAGACCACACAGACTGAGGAGCTGGGGCAATCATATAGGTCCCATATGAGAAAAGCCACGAGGGAAAGACAATGAACAAGAGCAAAGAAAGCCAGTAGGGAGAAAGGGAACGAAGCAGAGAAAGTAGAGAGAAAAGTGGTTTTGTTTGTGATGCTGCCATCTCATTGACTTAGTTTGACCTCCCCAGACTTCTGGGAGAACATTATCTGTGCTTAGGATACTCCTTCCCCTTTAAACTTGAGTTGGTTTACTTTCCTAAAGGAGCCTGTAGAGCACCAAGTCCCACATTTACCAAGCCAGATGCTAGAGTGTGTATCAGATGCTAGAGTGCCTGTACCCAAGGACCTGATTGAGGGGATGAGGTACACATACTCAGGCCTCAGCTTGGTACAAAGGTCCTTCTCTGTTGTACGTGCCAGTATCACCTCCTGCTTGTTCCCAACAAACTCCTTCCACTCTCGTGTTATCAACCTACTTGCAGTTTCCCTAATCTCACCCCTCTGTTATGCTCATCCTGTGGTCTCTTCCTCCCCTACTTAACTTGTCCTTTACGACTCGGGATGAGGGCCACTTTCTCTTAGAAATATTTCCTGGGGCACCTGGGTGGCTCAGTCATTACGCGTCTGCCTTCGGCTCAGGTCATGATCCCAGGGTCCTGGGATCGAGCCCCGCATCGGGCTCCCTGCTGAGTGGGAAGCGTGCTTCTCCCTCTCCCACTCCCCTTGCTTGTGTTCCCTCTCTCGCTGTGTCTCTGTCATATAAATAAATAAAATCTTAAAAAAAGAAAATTTCCTAATCTCTCCCTAGGCTGGATCAGGCTCCCCTCTTCTGAACCTCACCATATAAATGTTTGTACTTGTCTCAGCTGTAATGTCATGGCTAATTTTCTGGCTCCCAATCAAAAATATCTCATGGTTTTTTTATACTGAATAGGCCCAAGACAGCTCCTAATTCTCATCTTAAGGGCACACCTCAGGACTCAAACCATTTCCCTTTCTTCTTACCTCCCAGCCTCCACTATATCCTCTGGGGTCCCTTCCCTTTAAATCTTGAAGAGGGGCAGTCACCCCGCATCTCTCATTTTACTAGCCCCAAGAAAAGTGTAAGTTCCTGTGTTTGCTGCTAATCACGACTAGGAAACAGAAAAAGAATAGCAAAAGTAATTATATCTGAGAAGAAACAGTGCTACTGAGATCCCTGGACCACACTTCCCGATTCCCTTCAGAGATGGTAAAAGGAAATCCTAATGGACCTTCCTCTTGTGTTATTTCTTGAGAGTGGAGCTAGCCAACTACCCTGCCCTCTAAGCCTATACTTAAGGCAAATCACTTGCATCCTATCTTCCAGAGGCTACTCTTCTCAGCTTGAAGCTGGATTTGAGTCAGGATACAATTAGGACTACCAATCAGTGTTCCATAGACTCAGGAGGGCAATTAGCATCTCTAAGGCTATCCAGACTGAGTGGCCCTAAGTCAGCTCATCAAACTTCTGCCCAGGTTTGTCCTCGTACTCTCTAACTAGACCAACTCCTTGTGGATAGGAACTTGTTCTAATTCATCTTTACATGTCCAGCATCAGACAGAGGCAGACGATAAACATGTTTAATGAATGCGCTTCTAAAATCAAAGCAATAGGTGTGCCTGGGTGGCTCAGTCGGTTAAGTGTCTGCCTTCAGCTCACGTCATGATCTCAGGGTCCTGGGATCGAGCCCCACACTGGGCTCCCTGCTCAGGGGGCAGTTTGCTTCTTCCTCTCCCCTCTGCCCCTCCCGCCTGCTTGTGTGCACTTACTCTCACTCTCAAATAAATAAAAACTTAAAAATCAAATCAAATCAAAGCCATACAAGGCAGAATAGGATGAGTGCCAAACAGGTGGCTCAGACAATGCTTTAAGAAAGGGCCAAAAGCTAGCAAAGAGAGAAGAATGACAAAATCAAGTATGGCATCTAGATCTGAAAACTAATCAGTCTGGGACTGCAGAATAGTGAAAGCATCTTAGGGTTTTACACATTAACAGGATCAATGACAGTGGTAGCTGACTGAATTGATAGATATGGGGGGTGGAGTGCAATTATAGTCCTAGGTTATACGCACAGAAGTTGAGCCCACACACTAGAGGAGGTTAGAGTTCTTCTTTAACCTGAGCTCATCAGATTAGACTACAGTACCGAGCTCCAGGCACTGGACTTTTAGCATGCTGGCAAACTGGCACCAGCCCTTAGGAACCATGTGGTGAAGAATACAGAAGCCAACACATAAGAACGGTCTAAAAATTGCAAATTTTGGGGGCGCCAGCCTGGCTCAGTCAGAGGAGCTCTTGGTCTCGGTCGGGGTTGTGGGTTCGAGTCCCATGTTGGGTGTAGAGATCACTTAGACAAATTCCAAAACCAGGGGCAGGTTTGGTCTCTAATTGCTAATTTCAACTAAATGAAAGCTTTGGTTTTTTTCCTGCATTGCTAGGAGATGGTAAAAAATTCTGACTCAGGGGCGCCTGGTTGGCTCAGTTGTTAAGTGTCTGCCTTCAGTTCAGGTCACGTGGGATCGAGCCTCATGTCGGGGCTCCCTGCTCAGCAGGAAGCCTGCTTCTCCTCCCTCTCCCACTCCCCCTGCTTGTGTTCCCTCTCTCGCTGTATCTCTGTCAAATAAATTTAAAAAAATCTTTAAAAGAAAATTCTGACTCAGTATAAGGAATAGTTAATAATTAGAACTAATTAAAAATGATCCAGGTTAGGGGCGCCTGGGTGGCTCAGTCGTTAAACGTCTGCCTTCGGCTCAGGTCATGGTCCCAGGGTCCTGGGATCAAGCCCCAAGTCGAGCCCCACATCGGGCACCCTGCTCGGCAGGAAGCCTGCTTCTCCCTCTCCCACTCCCCCTGCTTGTGTCCCCTCTCTCGCTGTGTCTCTGTCAAATAAAAAAAATCTTAAAAAAAAAAAAAAAGATCCAGGTTAATTTTTGTCAAGAGGTACTTGAACCAAGGTTAAACAAACCTGGCTTTGAATTCCGCCACATGGGCCTTCCTGTTTTTGTGGGCAAGTTACTTAACCTCAGAGGGCATTTTCCTATCTGTGGAAGGAGGTAACATAATCCCCTTTGCAGTGTTGTTAGGGGTAGAAATAACATGTGAAAAGTTATCTAGCCAAGGTACCTATGGAAGCCATTATTACCATTCTTAAATTAGCTTACTGCAGATCCCCAAATGATTTTGGCAGGACTGGTAGAGATGACTCATAAAGTGTCATTCCTAAGATGAAATTCTGATCTGTTCAATTTAGTGGAGGAAGGGGTATAGGGTTTGCAGAAAGCTCCACTGAGGGAGGACTTAGATCTGGAATTTGGTGCTGCAGAGATTTAAGATGAGGGGTACAAATGGGGGGGGAAGGGGGGAGGGAGGAGAGGGAGGGAGTGTGGCTGTTTGTACTGAGATGGGCTCGGCTAAGCAGCAGGCTGCGGAAGCGTTCAGCCAGACTTTATCCAAGTCCCAGAGACTTCTGAGCGACCAGGAAACATTCCTGAGGCCTAGAGTGCTGGAATCCAGGACTCCTCAATTTGCCAACCAGCACTCATTGTATTGGAAAAACCCCAACTTCCCATCAGCAGTGGGTCACAACCTAAATAAACAGTGATGCCACTTTACATTTATTCCTCACTGTGAGCAATTTACAAAGTACCTTTAAGCACTGTTGAATGTGATTTGATCCTTATCACAACACACCCGTGCAGCAGCAGGGCACTAACCACTAACGTGGTTTAGATAACAATGGCTGGGTAACTCTTCCACTGTCAAATAACTGGCAAACTGGTGGGTCTGGGCCTGGAAATCTAGGTCTCTGGAGATCAGACAGATTTACTAGACTATTGGAAGAGAGATAAGAACATAATCTACCCCAACATACAATCACTAGAGGGAAACAGGCAAAAATACTCGGCATTTCTTTTCTGCATTTCCAACTAATGCTGGAACTAGGAACCAGAGAGTGTAGACACGAAGTGGAGACGGGGGCAACGTCAAGTGTGCGCCCTGGGCAAGAGAACAGAGCCGCTCCCGGTGAGTGTGTTGGAAGGGAAAAGAGGGAGAAGAAAGGAAGTAGGAAGGAGCCTGAGGAAGACGAGGAGCACTCCGCAGCTGAGCAGCCTCTAGGCCCAAGAGCCACATTACCTCACTGCATCTTCCCAACTCTCCGGCCCGGGCTGTTACCATCCCCGCTCTGCAGAAGAGAACACTGACTCAGAGAGGCGAGGTGACCTGCCCAGGCTAGAGAGTGTGTGTGGAAAGCCGGAGTCAGAGGCAGGGCAGCCAGGCTGCGGAAACACCCAAACCGCCGCGGTCTCCGCCCCTCCACGCCGCCGGCCACCCGCACCCACCGGGGCGGGGCGTCCAAAAATCTCCTTCCGGCCGTCACGGCCACCTCCTCCCCGGGACCCCGCGCTTCGCCCGCGGTCCGTACGTCCCCGGCGTCTCCGAGACCCCCGCTCATCACGCCTCCCCAGCCCCCTCTTCTTCCCCGCCGGCCCCCGTGGGCCGGCGAGGCCCGCAGCCCAAGCCCGGGAGGGAGGACGGCGCCGGGGAGTTTTGCCGCCGCCAGCCCCGCTGGGGGCGGGCGCGGGGAACGGTTGGGGGAAGGGGCCCCGTGGGGCGGCCACGCGCCACTCACGCGTCGAACTTGTTGTTCATCCTCTCACCGCCGCCGTCGCCACTGCCTCACGGAGTGACTTCCGCTCCGCCGGGTCTCCCCCCAGCTTAGGGCCCGGCTACTTCCGGCTACGCAGGGCGCAGCGGAACTTCTGCGCCCTACCCCCGTGTCGGGCGGGTATCCCGGGACGCCCGCTGCCGGGGGCTGCGCTGAGGTGCCGGGCTCGGCGGTCTTCGTGCTGCCCGGGTTCCTGTCCCGGGTGCGAGGGGGCGCCCCGACCCTCTCCCGCGGCGGTTCGGAGGAAGAGACCGAGCCGCGTCGCTGGCCGTGCGGGCTCTGGACGCTGCTCGGTTCCAGTTCCCGACTCCACCCCCAGAGCGGGCTGCGAGATCCTGGACTCTGTTCTAACCTCCCCGAGGCTGTTTCCTCTTGGGTACTGGCCATACTGTATATGACGGTCCCTGCCTCTTCGGGTTGCGGTGTGGCTCGAACGGGATCATCAGTGGTCAGGGGCTAGACAGTCGGCCGCAATTAGTATTGTAAATTTTTGCTTACTCGCGCCTGGAGCTAAAGAGCTCATCTCGGCCCTTTGAGGCAATCAGAGGAGTTGAGAGACTCACCCCGGGTGACAACGCTGAGTGAGAAGCTTTCAGGAACCACAGATGGGCCCACCATCATCAAAGTGCCTCCCGGATCTAAGTGTCTTGCTCCAAATACACGGGGCAGCGCGCCCATAAACTGGAGTTAATGAAGTGAACCTGCTGGTGATTGAGCCTCAGAGCCAGCAACCCTGTACTTGGGGGAGGGGGTTATTTCCGGGGTCCTCTCCCCTCCCCCCAACAATGTCCATTGTCAGGTCTTATGTGGCACTTTCACACTTCTGAATCACTTTCGCCTGCACCTTTGATCCTCTGATGAGGGTAGATAGGAACTGAAACCTGTACCCGTATTTACAGATGAAGAAACACTGGTGCAGGTAAGTATTGGGTGCCTATAGCACCCAGAAAGCAGGGGAGGGAGATACCAGCTGGGGTGGGCTGCTGCCATTCTTTGGAGAGAACATTGCCCGCTACTCTCCACATCTCTCTTGACCTCCCTCCTTTAGGAGCCTGTGGGGATCTTGTAAAAAGGAAAGGAGGCCTAGGCCTGGAGGGATGGGACCTTGCCTAGTTGGGGATATCATACAAGACAGAGTCCTTAGGGCTTCAGAAATGAGGGGAGTAAGGGGTGCCTGGGTGGCTCAGTCAGTTAAGCATCTATCTGCCTTTGGCTCAGGTCACGATCTCCGCTGGGTCCTGGGATTGAGCCCCGAGTCGGGCTCCCTGCTCAGCGGGGAGTCTGCTTCTCCCTCTCCCTTTCCCCTCTGCTCGTGCTCTCTCTCTCTCTCTCTCTCTCAAATGAATAAATAAAATCTTAAAAAAAAGAAATGATGGGAGTTGCTAATGCTTTGCTGAAGTGAGGGGATTGTCGGGACTAGCGAGCCAGTGCCACGTGGATGCTGATCCCAACAGCACACCCTGCCCACAGCCATTCTCAACCACTCCGGGACTCCAGCTCGGTCTCCTTTATTTCCTGTGCTTTTCTCAGGGCCATTGGCTCATACGGCCCTGAGGGGCACTTCCCAAAGAGCACATCGTGACCTCAGCCACTGAAGAACACAGCTGATAAGACTCCACGTGTCATCAGCAGTTGGTAGTTGGTTGGCTCAGTCAGGTGGGGGCAGGTAGGAGCGGGGGTCTCCAGGGAATGGCAGGGCAGGCACCTGGTTGTAGTGGGCCATGAGGAAGATGCCAGCAGTGCCGCAGACAAAAAGCGAGAGCATGGCCAAGAAGCAGACACGGTCCAGCACCCGGCCCACCAAGAACCACTCCTCACTCCCCTGGGGGTAGGAGGCAGGGTGTGGGATGACCAGCAGTGACGCCAAGCCTGCCCTGGATCACTGTGCCATCCGTGGCCATCCAGCAGGCTTCTATCCTCCACGGCCTTGGGCCCTTCACACCTACTTCCAGACCTTAGCCCGGACTCTTCCGTAGTCCCCTGGCCCCAATGTCCCGGTTCCACTTTTTTCCATCCCATCGCCCTACCGTGGCCACCCCGCCCATCTTGCCCCCGTCTCGGGTCCAAGTCCCTCCCCGGGCACTCAGTCCCCCTTACACTCTCAAAGTGATTCTGCTGGTGCCGGGCGAGGGCAATCAGGTTGCAGGCTTCCACACAGGCCTGGATGGCCGGGGCGGCCTGCTTCAGGCTGCCGCACAACTCCTGGCTCTGCCCTGGCTCCGGGCCTTTCTCTGGGGAGACAGGGTAAGGTTTGGGAATAGACTGGAGAAGAAATAGTCTGAGAAGGTTGTCTCTCCTGAGCCGCCCTAGCTTCTCTCTCCCCACCCCGGACACTTACCAACGCTCATCTGCTGTGCCCGGTGCTTTGGCCGACAGGTAGCCCTCCCCGTCTGGAGTCCCTGGGGAGGAGTATCCCCAGTGTCATCCCCCGCCCCCCACCCTCACCCCACGGCCTCACCTAGCTTCTCCAGCGCTGCCCTCACCAGCCCATTGTGCTGCCGCTGCCGGAAGAGAAGTTCACTGCGAGGCAGGCCGAGAACAATCTCCTCCCCAGCTGTGAGCGACCATCCTGAGGGGGAGCCATTCTGCAGCGGGTGCTGGGTGTCTTGCACAGCTACCGGGGCCAGAGGGCGAATGTGCATCCGCAACAGCTGGGGCAAGAGCCGTAGGAACACCTGGAGAGAGGATTTTCTGGTGGGCTTCGCTTAGTAGCCAGCAGACCTGGGCATGTGGGTGGCCAGGCTGGGCTTCAGAGCAAAAGGTGAAGGTTGGCACGGAGGGGCTCAAGCCCCTGGGAGCCCAGAGGCAGCACACGAGGGTCAGTGGCTTGACCCCGGAATAGCTCGGCTGTTCTGTACCAGACACTGAGCCTAGGTCCTCCAACTCGTGTGCACGTCAGCATCACCAGGACACTTGCTACCCAGGTTCCTGGGCCCCACCCCCGTTGGTCTGGCCCAGGATGCCTGAGGTGGGCCTGAGGATCTGCATTTGCGATATGGGTCCTAGCTGCCTGCTGCAGGGTGGGCTGCAGATCACACAGACTCCCCAGCCAGACTGCCTGGGCAGAATCTTGCTTCTGCTTCCTCACCAGGCTACCTCGGGTAAGCTAATGAATCTCTCTGTGCCTCAGCTTCCTCACTTGCAAAATGGAGATGGGACTAATACCCACCTCCTAGGAGTTTTATGACGATCAAATGCGTTCGGATGCATATACACCTGCTGCATGGTAAGCACTCAGCGTTATATTAATTCACTGGGCACATGCTTCAAGATACACACAGGGTAGGTTTGCCGCTGAATGTGGCAGGTGAGTAGGGAAGGGGAAGGGGGCGGAGAGGAATGGACAGGAGGATGCTGGAGTGGACAGGGAGGGGCCTTGCCTTTCGGACCCCGCGAGCCATGGAGTGTGTGTGGGGGGACCGCAAAGACACGTTGAGCACGACCACGGCATTCACAACAATGAGGATGGTCACCACCAGGAGAAAAGTGAGGTACCTGTCGGGGTTGGGTGGGCAGGAGGCGGGGCGGGCCCTTTGGCACTTCATCTCCAGATGCACCCCCACCGTTAGCAGCCGATCCCCCCAGATTCCTCAGGGTGAGGGGTTGGCCTTGAGGGGGGTGGGGGTGGGAGCGGCAGGAGGGTAGCGCCCCAAGTTCCGGGGAAAGGAAGGGAGGAGCTGGGCGGTAGGCATGAGGGCCAGCCTTACTTGCTGATCAGTGGCACTGCCTGGGACGTCTCGGGCACCTTCTTGGCCACGAGGAAGAGGAAGACGGTCTGGGCCAGGAGCACGTTGATGGCGACGGTACACTTTTGGCCCCCCGCTGCCCATAACCAAGAGGCCTTCAGAGCAGATCTCAACTTTCCTGCCGTGGGGCACCTCCCCCACCCCCCAAGGAGCCCAGTGGCCCTGGGCCCCGGGACAGGTGGTCCTGTGTGTGGTGCCTCAACCCTGTGCCCTCCCGGCTGGTCCCTGTGCTGCGGCCTGGGGCCGGGGCTCCCCTCCCACAGGTTCCAGGTACCCTTGGCGGGAAGGAAGTAGATGAGGGTGGCCACCGAGGAGATGAGGACGCAGGGCGCAATGATGTTGATGACGTAGAAGAGGGGCTTGCGCTGGATGAGCAGGTAGAAGACAACCTTCTGGTGGCCTGCCTCCTCAGCCGGTGCCGCCACATCCAGCAGCATCTTGGCCGGCCGGTGCCGGATGGCCCACTCCCCATTCTCTGTGGGCAGCAGGTCAGGGTGGGCGCAGGGAGCGCAGCCCCGGCCACCTAACTGCAGGGCGGCTGGCGTGGGCCCAAAGGAGCACCATCCAGGGAGCCTGGATCCCTGATCTGCCCCCCCCCCCACCCAAACTGGAGACATTAGCATGGGGAAAAGGGAACTGTGCCGGGCTTTTAAAGATACATGCTTTATGGTTTACTGTGCTTTTCATCTTGAGTTACATGGGAGGGGGTCTGAGCTTGGTCTGGCCAAGTCCCCCAAGTCCCCAAGACCCCTGGAGGCCACGTCCGGCAGGGGTCCTGGGAGGAGGTTACCTGTGAAGGCCTCGGGGTCGATGAAAATCCACTCGATGGTCTGACCATCTTCCTGGCTGAGCTGCAGATTGATCTCATTGGTGCTGTAGGTCTGGGACCTGGGAGATGGGGAGGGAGGGGGGAGCCATTTGAGTGTGTGTAGACCCACGTCTGAGGTCACCCTGACGATCCTCTGAGGGCAACTGTGGGCAGTATTGCCTCAGAAAAGTGCAGCCAGGAATTTGCGAGTTCTCCACAGAACCCTGGCCGTGAAATGGGGGGTGGGAAGGGGACTTGGGCTCCATGGGGGTCAGGGAAGTTTTGGGGAAGGGCCGCGAAGCCGCAGCTCAGTGCCCTCACCAGATGTTAAGAGCCCAGGGCCACTCCTTTCCTCCCTTCCACTGCCTCCAGAGCAGGAGGGGCCGATGGTTAGAACACAGAAAGGGCCGTCTGTCCCTGTCTGGTCTGTTTGTGAAGAAGGGTCTCCTTGTAAAGAGACCGCTCCTCTAAATTATGGGGAAACTC